TACCGAAAAACCTGATATAACTATATCGCTGGTACAAAGAAGACATTCATTCCGCCGAGACTGCATGTCTATGGAGTATGTCAATTTGAATTTGATGGCCCCGGGAGAATTTTAGCTCATTCTTACACACCTGAGAATGATGAATGCAAAGAAATTCATTTAGACGAAGAAGAATCGTGGGATCTTGATGGAAACGGAGGTACGAGTTTTCTCATGACCCTAGCTTACGAAATTGGGCATGTAATTGGATTGGGGCATAGCATCCAAGAAACTTCTATTATGTTTTCTTGGTATCAACTAAAAACAATTCAATTAGGAAGAGATGACGAATATGCAATTGAATCTTTATATGGTCGACGTAATACCACCACAGTAAAAACAACTCAGCGTTCTACTGCAAGAAAAAAAACTTCCAAGTTTCTTGGATGCTATGCCCCAATCCAATTACATGCCCAATTTCGTAAGCTAGGGTCATGAGAAAACTCGTACCTCCGTTTCCATCAAGATCCCACGATTCTTCTTCGTCTAAATGAATTTCTTTGCATTCATCATTCTCAGGTGTGTAAGAATGAGCTAAAATTCTCCCGGGGCCATCAAATTCAAATTGACATACTCCATTAGATATGCAGTCTCGGCGGAACGAATGTCTTCTTTGTACCAGCGATATAGTTATATCAGGTTTTTCGGTATTCGTCAAACGAACATATTTGAAATTAGAAATATTCCCCCATAAACTGAAGGCTTTTTCAGCATTGAGCCTCATTTTGGCAGATGCTTGTGGAAAAGACCATTTGATATATGTTTTGTTTCATTTACCCAGAGTCGTGAAAGCGTTTTCAGGGATTACACATATCGGTCTTAGAATCAAACTCAGAGTATCTGAATTCAATGTACCCTCCACGGGAAGATTATATTCCTCTTGAAAACTAGTCATAGTCGATTCAAAATCTGTGAGAGAATTATTGTTATCGATGTAACTATATTGAAATAGATACTGCAACATTTCTTCTTTATTCGTCACATTTTCACAAGTAGTGAGGTACGGAAAAAATATGAGTGTCCACCACAACATTTTGAAACAATACTGAAATCCCAAGTCATTTTTCATTTTTATATATGGTAGTTGTGAGTATGTGTGGGCGAGATGGTAATTACGCCAGCATGGGGTTACAGAAAAAACATGAAGCACTTAGCTGCAACTTAGTTAATAATGATCTGCAAACGATATAATATTGAATGAATAATGGGAGGGGGGGCAAAATGTTGATTTGTCGAAACGTTTCGATATCTTTTGGTTTCGAAATTATTGGAATCGAACCCTACACGGTCAATTCGGCTTTCACAAAAGCATTGTCTGTGAAAGATTCAACTTTTGATTTGAATGATTACTCAAATGTATTGAGATCGCAAGAATATGACATTTTGAATAAATCTTCAATTTCAGCCTGACAACGTCTCCATACAATATTTTCAATCTTATGTAGTTAAGGTATACAGACACCCCTTAAATGGTATACTTTTCACTAAAAAAAAGCAATACGTGGTAACCTTGAATTTTATATACCTCCTATCCTTCATATGCCTCCCTTACCCATGCCTATAATCAACAAAATTCGAATTGACAAACTTATCATGTCATTATACGAAATAATTTAAATATTTTCAATTGATTATTTTGTTATTCTTCATGTTGCACATTTGTTTTCCCAATAAAACATAAAGTTTGTTCTATTGATTGAATGACAAGTTTTCACTCTTCACACCTGTTGAGCATGAAATTTTTACATTTTCTTTTCCTGATTTGAGGTGCCGCCTACAAATCTTCATTTTTAAAATCTTGATAAAAAGTTTTTATTCATAAATGTTACATTTCCACGAATATCACACGTATTTTAACATTGTATTCTTTTTTATTGCAGATCATGAAAAACACAATTATTCGTAAGTGATTATGTTTTTATTAACTTTCAAATATTGATCAATCATTGCTTTTCAGAAATGAGAAGGTGTATTATTCGCTAGGGGAAGAAGCAAAATATTATTCATCTTCGGATGAGGGAGTAGATTTTTCGTGAGTTTGTTTAAAATTCAATTGTAATATAAATTTATAAATGTCAGAATGTTTGCAGATTGAACATCGATAATGCAAGATGCAGTTTTTACCCCGAGTGGTGGGGGTTCTGCACTTGTACTGGGCAAGAAGAATACGTTCCACCGGAGTCTACCTCTTGCCCCAAACCCAAGCCCATCTCTGACAGAAAACAAACAAGAAACACATGAAACAGCCGAGCCGCCACCTCCTGTTGCCTCTCCAAACTTGAGCCAACCTCCAGCAACTACCAACACCCACAGTGAAGATAAAAATTAATAAATTATTTTAAATTCAATGTGTTTGTTTTTTTATTCTCTTCTACTTTCAAATATCAGTTTTTCAGCGGAAATTAATTAGTTACCTATCGATATACTATCAAAATATCTACAACTCAATATTTCATTCTTCCAATGCAATTGGGATTG